TAACATAAAACTTTTAAACAGACCTGGCCAGCTAGCTTTTTTTTAAATTTCATATATAAAAATTTATAAAATTTTTTAAAATATACAAAAATTTTTTTTTACAAATTTTCTAATTTTGACCTGGCTAAGTTATGAAAACCAATTAATTAAGTTTGTATAGCCTTATCTTTTTTTGATTTTTAATTTTTTTATGATTTTTATCATTTGCAATTTTTAAATTTATATTTAATAGACAATCCATTTGTCATTTGGAAAGGATCTGCAAATTTTATAAATAAATTTTACTATTGAGCCAAATGTAGAAATTTTTTAAAAAATATAAAGAAACCTTTTTTTCTTACTAAATAAATTACTCTTGAGCTTATAACAAAAGTTGTAAAGCTCATCAAAATATATCTAATGGTAGTAAGAATGTTAAAATCAGCTTAGTGGTTCTTGAAAAATCTTTAAAAAATATTTTGCTAACATATAAAATTTTTTTGGATTTTTTTTAAAGAAATTTTATATGTTAGCAAAATGTTTTTAAAGATTTCTCAAGAACCACTAGACTGATTTTAATGTTCTTACTACCATTAGATGCATCTTGATGAGCTCTACAACTTTTATTATGAGCTCAAGAGTAATTTACTTAATAAGAAAAAGTTTTCTTTACATTTTTTTAAAAAATCTCTACATTTACTATTTGAAGATTTTATATATAATTTTATATAAATTTTGTGTAACTTGTATCACATAGCTCTCCAGATAATTGGCGAATCATCTATTAAATTTATTATTATTATTTATTTTTATTTTTTAATTTTTTTTATGATTTTTAACCAAATTTTAATGATTAATTTTTTCTTTTATGATTTCACTATTTTTTCTTTTCTTTTTTTTTATAGAATGAGATGAAGTTTTATTAAAAATACTCTTCAAACAATATAAACTAAGGGTTGACAAAGTTTTTTTAAGCCTAAGAAATCAAGACACTCTCAAAATTTTACTGCCAGAATTGCTATGATTGTTGATGCCAACTTATACTCCTACCTAAATATGAACTTTGAGATTGATTAGGTGCTTTACACTGGCACCAAAGAGGTCAGTATAAGAAAGCTCAGACAGAAAATTAGATGAAGACAATCATTATGTTCATACTAATAATAAGATGAATGAAGTATGAAAGTTTTATTTTATTATTGTTATATAAAATAGCCAGACTTCAGATTTTAATATTTAAAGGGTTTGGGCCTCGTAGCTTACTGGTTAAGCTCTCAAACCCCCACAGACAAGGTCGATAGTTCGAGTCGAACTGGTGGCAAATTTTCGAATTTGTTACTGTAACCTTAAAATGGAGCCATAATCGGATGCAAAGCCCTGTGGAAAGTCTAAATGCAAGTACAGTTTTGGAATAGAAATTTCCAGAAAGAGCTCTGATCATGGAGTGCAGGCATCATGTGTGATAGCGGTATTACAGAAGGTCTAGGCTGTAGAAGATCACACGTATTAGCCCTCTGATTGGGGTGACTTAGAGGCAACACCAACATCCCTTCACCTCTATATTAGGCAATACTAATATCCTTGCATCTAACTTGTGGGTACTTGCTTGAGAGGATGATCAACAGATCGTGCGCATCAGTCCTAATTTAGAAATGGTGCTGGGTACTTGCTTGGGAGAGTGATACAATACTACCGAAACTGGAATGGTGGGAGAAGCGGTGAACATGTGAAAGAGCTGTGGTAAAGGATTGGCCTTACCTAAACAAAAAGCACCTCTGGCACCATGGAACAACTAGCTAAAGAAGGCAAATTCATAGAGGCAGGCAAGCTAATCTAGTATATATAAAGGAACCAAGTCGGAGCTCTAGTCATACCTATATGGAAGTCATTGACGAAAGAAGTCAGAATACACCAACAATAATGCAACACCAACCAATGATGAAGAGTCAAGTTGGAAGTCAAGGTGAATTGGGATATGCCTCCTAGTAATGTAACGTAAGGCCTATGGTTGGAAGTAGAATTGTTTGCCACTTAAGGAATTTCGTGGTGTTAGGTTAGTCTTTAACAAGATAGGTCATTAAAGTAACTACGCAATATGGTTCTGGTAATACACCATATGAGGAAGTACAAATGGATTAGTTAGTACTATTATATCAGAAAAAGAACATTAAGTCCTGGGGTGATAAACTAGCGGTGGCAGCAGGGCTTGGCTTGAGATACGGGTTAGTAGTACCTGGGCAGATAAGTGAAAGATTAGGACATTTATGGAGAGAGATGGTGTATGAAGAGATGCAAACCGGTTGAGGCAGTGCAAACCCAAGATAAGTCCTTAATTCAACAATGGAATACCAACTCTGTCATGTGGTGAACCTAACTAGGTAGCAAGTTCCTGGCTTAAGATATGAGACTTTTAGACCACCTGCACTAATTACGATTGCACGAATAAAATACCTTAGAGAGAAATTGCAGTGGATCGTGCTTGCAGGTATACCAACTTGGGAGCTCATTAGAAGTGGACACCGACGTACTAAATTGGAAGTTATGATTGGTTAGGTGAGACGTGGAGGAATGTGATATTACTAGAAATAGTTAGTTGAGAAGCGTTAATCTAGATGAGACATGTGTAGGGCATGAACCATTTTAGTAGGTTTAGGTCGTAGATAAATTAGTCTAAGTCTTTATAATGCTACGTTAGCGTATATGTAAGAATATATCTAAGTATATGTTAATAAAAACCAGAGGCATGACCTCACCTTAAATATATAAAAAAAAAGATTTTAATATTTATAACTTATCGAACTTAGCTATTGAACTAAGTCTGATAAGTTATAAATATTGAAATCTGAAATCTGGTTTTTTTTTATATTATATTTATTTATTATTTATATTACAGAAAAAAGTATGGAAGGTGTGGTGACTTAGTAAATCCTACTGTTGACAAAATTCGAATTTTACAAAATGTGTTATGATAGACTGTGTGTAATCTGATGGATCATTGGATCTGTAGCTTTGATTATATCAGCTTGTACTAGAAGAATGTGGAATTATAGTGTGATGTATGAGTTATACAGAATCTGAGTGAAATGTTTGTATAAATCTAAGGTCTAGAGCATACAGAATCCCGCTTGACAAGTTCTGAGTAAAGTAGTAGCACAGACTTTTAACAGTGCTACGTAAAGGATTATCAACTGAAGAACTAGAAACTAGATAGAACCGAGATGTTTGGCAAGGCACCATATCAACCAGGCCACCAATATATTCTGAGAAAGGGGTCTGCCCTTCCAGGCTATCTGAATTGAGAGTTTGGAGAATCAGAAAAATGGTGGAAAAGTCCATAAAGTGGGTGCTGGGATTTAGATGAACTCTATAAGGGCAGGGTAGGTAATGGTAGTGGCTTCGGCAAGTACTTGTTTTCGAACTTGCCGTAAGTTATCGAAGACTAGGTTAGCAGGATTGTGGGTATAGAAAGCTCTAGCAATGATGCCTTGAAGATAAATTAGTTCTAAGGCTACAGTAAGCATCCTTCTTGACTGACAAATATAGCGAAAATGTCCTGGTGATAACAAGTGAGGATCTGGTTGCATTACAGAGGGTTTAAATAGATAATCATCTAGTCAAGTTATAGGTATAGCAGCTAATGTAGAACCTATAGTATACAGTTATCTATACGTAGACTACTTAAATAGGCGTTCAAAAGCACACATATGGCTAGTTATACTCTCTAATGTAATTCAGAGTTCTGCTGTGAGCCTTTCATTCCAATATACTTGAATAAAAACCCTCATGCCAAAGGTGCTAAAAAAAAAAAAAAAAAAAAAAGTATAAAGAATTAAAAGTGCATAATCATTATATAGAGCCTTTGCAGTAAAAAAGGCAAAAACTCGAATATATCTCATTTTGAAATAATTAAGTTTAATTACTTGTTTTGATTTTTGAACTGATTTGCATCAACTAAAATTTCATAATTTTGATTGGTTAAAGGTAACAGGTGATTACTAAGCAATCTTGTGATATACTCTGCTTTATACAGTTTTGTACAATTTTTCTTTTACATTATCTTGATTTTTTATTATATAAATCAACTTTTATTTATAATCGAAAAATGTTAACCACATCGAAATTTACCCAAATTTAATAAAAACTCAATTTTCATTTTTGGGATAGTTTCCACCCTTTCTATTGCAAAGGCTTCATATAAATAAAAAGCAAAGCATATTGAAAAATATGAGAAAAAAAGGTTGTTATATTTACTTACAAGAATCGAAATCTACTCACCTGAATTAAATAAGACCAATCTAGAGGACAGAAAAAAAGGAAATACTAATGTAAATAATTATATGCATTCAGATAAGGTTTGTTGATTTTTGATCAAATTAATGCTGAATTTTGTAACTTCTAAATTTTTTTCTTATACTATTATAAGATTAACAATCATTTTGCGACTGTTAAGTATAGTACTAATCTATGAAAAATCAGAATTCATAAAATTCTAAATGTTTGAGTAAAAACTTAATGATTTTATATTAATGATTTTATTAATACTAATGATTTTATTAATACTAACATTTTATTAATTTATTAATATTAACAATTTTATTAATTTATTAATACTGCCGATTTTATATTACTACCAATTTTATTAATACTGATATTTTATTAATTTATTTAATATTAATGATTTTATTAATTTATTAATACTGCTGATTTTATATTACTAACAATTTTATTAATTTTAACAATTTTATTAATTTTAACGATTTTATTAATTTTAATGATTTATTAATTTATTAATACTGCTGATTTTATATTACTAACAATTTTATTAATTATAACAATTTTATTAATTTTAATGATTTTATTAATTTATCAATACTGCTGATTTTATATTACTAACAATTTTTTTAATATGTACTAACAATTTTTTTAATTTATTAATACTGTAATTTATTAATACTAATAATTTTAATAACATTAATTTATTTAAACTAACAATTTTATAGTTAAGAAGTTTATTAAGAAAAATGTTAAACGAGAATACAAAACAAATCTCAACTACACAACAAACAAAGAAACTATTTTATGATGATATTGAGTTCTTTTATGATGCACCTAGGCCAAACAACTTGTCAGATTAGACCTACATGTCTGATGAAGAAGAAATTGCAAAAGAACAAATGAAAGAATAAAAAATAAAAGCAAAGGAAAAGAAAAAAGTAAAGAAACAGAAGAAAGAAAAAAAACAAAAGTTGTTTCTGAGACTGAAAGATCAATGAAAAAATCTTAAATTCAAAGTGAAGACTATAACAGAGTGGTTTTGTATTCAAGAAAGAGAGAGCACAAAACTAGTAAAAGTATAAAAATAGTTGAAATTCATGGTGCTTTAGCAGGCACTGTACAATACACCTCAACCAAAGAAAGTATAGATAAAAAGTTTTAAAAAGAGGCACATAAGTAAAAGGTTATTTTTTTGAAGTAGATGAGTAAAATTTTTTAAGAAAATTAGTTTTTTAAAATTTTTTTTTTTAAATTCATTTTTTTAACATGTTTTTTTTGCTATAATTGTCACTATTATTTTGCTATTATTATGATTATTTCTATTATTTCTTTATTGTTTGTCTTTATATAACTTTAAATAAAATAATGAATATAAAATAATGAATTTTATACTGATTTTAATCGATAATTAATAAATAAAATTGCAATAATTTTAATCTCAATTGATAATCAAAATATATAATTTATTGATTTAAGCTGAATGTTATTCAAATTATTAATTTTAATAAACTGATTTCTATCAATTAATAGCTGATTTTAATATTTTAATAACCGGTTTTTATGACTAATTAATGAATTATCTCGATTTATTTACAAATGTTTAATATGGTTTTTTATTTACTAAATATGATTTATGATTGATTTACTTATGAATGTCATTATAGTTGATTTTAAGTGATTTTATATTGATTTTATTATTTGATGATTGACTGCCAAGTAGCAGTGATTGCTGCCAATCAGCAATAAATTGTCTAATAATAAAAGTAATAAAAATCATCTATCAATTAGCCTATTTGTATATAACTTTCATTATAACAAATAACAGTATTTTAACTAGTATCGATTAGAGAGCCATCTGATTATACTTTAACTACAACTAAAAACCTATTTTTAATATTACAAACTTTAAGCTTAATCAACTCAAATTTTTTAAATTTAAAATCTTATTTAATGAATTGCCAACCTATCATCTTTACTATTTATAATATTCTAAAATCTTTCTAAATATTAACTGTTTCTACTGAAATTTATCAGACTTACTTCTACATTGATATAGTTGTCAAAACCCTGAATTAATCTATTAAATTATTACTAATACTATTACACAGTATCTTAGATTAGTAAAACTGGATCTTTCAAATAATTAGCTAGAAGAACTTATTTACAAAATTCACAATTATAAAGCATTTCATCTATTTGTTTTTTTAATCATATTTATATTACTTGAATATTACACTTAAAGATTTAATCCCTATATCTTTAATTAAAACTATTCAAAACTTGATATCTCTTACAAGACTCCAGTAATCAAAATATTACTCAAAATAAATAAACAATTATATAAACAATTATAAAAATTCTATTGTTCTGACTTTTCTAACTAGAGAAAGCTCAATAAACTTAACTATTTATACTTCAATAATCCAAGCCATTTTATATAATCTGAATCTTTTAGCTTTGAACAACAATTTGATTCTTCAAGTTCAATACAATTTACTATCTTAATTTGATATATTCATATAATATATATTTATTCTTGTCTATATGAAAAACCAGATTAATTATATATTTATTCTAATATCTGTTTATCTGTTAATCAGATTAGAAAAAAATTTGACACTTGATTTGTTCACTGGATCAAATACAGTACTTCAATTAATTATATTTTCTTTATTATAATCTAAGTAAGCTCAGAACCACTCTAGTAGATTTAGGTTATAGATAAATTAATCTAAGCTTTTATTCTTGCTATATAGTTTTATTTTATTTGTATTTTTATAAATTGTAAAAATATTTATATTAGTTGATTATTCAATTGATGGTTACTATTATCTAATAAAATTAGAGAATTGTTATTTTCACTCCCACTTTTGCTAATGCTACCCCCATAAGATCAGAGCCAGCATCTGGCCTGTGTCATGTGATTTCAGAGTTGAAGTGGGTGTTACATGATATGCATCACCTGCAAATTAGCCCAAAAATTTTAAGTAGCACAAAACACATCACGTGACTGATATAACAATTTCATCATAAAACGACATTTACATAACATTCATCTGATTGGCTAATGTAGATTAATTGGCATTTTACTTTATACACTTTATAAGAAGCGTAACATTTACTAACAAAAACGAACGCAGATACATATTCATTATTAAACCTAATCCAAAATTATCTACACTTTCAAGAACTTCACTTACTATATATACTGCTAGCTAACCATATGTAGGTTTTAAATACTAAAAACGAATAAAAAAAGATTAAGCATTACATGTAAGCTTTAAATTTAAAGAACTTAGGGTACGCTGTTTATACTATATATTATATTGACAATAGGCTTGTACTAATACTTACTATATTCCGAATATTATAGAATAACATTACTAGATTAGTAAATATGACTTTGGGTTAAATAAATCGATGTATAAGTATTATCATTTTATTAATTATATAAGCTAAGGGTCATATCACGTTTAATAAAGGTCATGATAACAAAAAATAAGATAAAATTATTTTAATTACTTTTACGATGTAATAAATAAAGACTAAAAAATAGCTTCTTTATGTAATACAGTAATTTATTCATATATTGGGGTTTTTGATCGTGTTTGAGCTTAGATTTATTAGTAAAATTTTCACATTATTCGTCTATTTTTAAAATGTACCAAATTCTTTTTTGTATACTTTTATTAGTTTATAGGCTTTCTTTTTTTTTATATGAAGTTCTTTTCGTTTTCTCATGGATAAATCATGACTAATAATGAGTTAAACGATAATCTAATAGTTTGATGATAATCTAATGTGATTTAATACATATTGATATTACTATATTACTATCAAATTATTATTTTTTTTTTTGGTGTTCAGGTGGGATCTTGTCCATAACTTTATTTATTGTTAATACTTTCATTACATGTATTACTACATTTCTGTATTTACATATATTAAGTACACCAAGCTCAGACTCGAATCCTATTGGTTATCTATGCTCTGGCCAAAACCATCACTTGCGCGATAGGTGTCCCCATCCGCTATCTGGCCACCGATTCATTATCTGCGATCCAAATCTACCGGAGCGGTACGTCCAAGGATAGCACTCACCTAGTATTTTTTCACCCTTCACTAGTCCTATTTTGGTACACTTCCTTATGACGTCATTCCCTGCATCTCTTATACCACTTATATCTAAGCTCTCAAATTTGGTAGTCCCTTCTGGAATATGGCCTCATAGCTTCAAGGGCTACTTCCAATCTTGGTTATCTTCAGCTAGACTGCCCAGGTAGTATTATGAAGAGGAACTCATGTTGGCTCAGATTAAGCCTCGTCATTAATACTT